TAGCCAATCATATTTAACAATTTAGGATCTGCGATTTACACACGTGTAGCCAATAAAATTGAACTTCCGTCATGCTACGGTATAATAACCTGGTATTTATACCAAAATTTATTATACGGTATAATTTCCAACCCTAATGCTAGATCAATTCGAGGAAGCAACACTTTGGTTAATTCAAAATAACTAATGCCTTTTATAAGATGGGTATTCTCGAAAAAATTGCAGAAATTGAAAAAGAAATATCTAGAACACAGAAAAACAAAGGTTATTATTGATGATATTCAGTTAAGCAAATATAATATTAACCTGTTACAAATATCAATTAGCCACCGAGTATCACCTCGGCTTACTGAAGGCAAAACTAGCAAAGTACAGAGTACAACTTCTAGAGCCTTCAAAGTCTGGTGGAGTAAAGGTATAAAGCCGCATTTCTAATTTAATTATTGGGTCCAGGAGTTAAAGATTTATTTAGTGTACATATTAGGGTGAAGGTTTTGATGTTATGAAATCTGGGGATGCAAGAGTTGCATTGATTGGGTTTCCTTCAGTGGGTAAATCAACATTATTAAATAAGCTCACAAAGACTCATTCGGAGGCTGGCGCATATGAATTTACTACATTAACCTGTATACCCGGTATTTATGATATTCATCACAAGAAATTGTGATATTTAAACGGTAAACGCAACTATAATTCGTCCATTTATTTTCAAAGGAAAAATTGAATATAATGGTGCAAATATTCAATTATTGGATTTGCCTGGTATTATCGAAGGAGCTGCTCAAGGTAATTATTTTCTTTATTTTAGATGATGGTTATTTATTCTTATACCAAAATTTCAATTGCGTTATAGGTAAAGGACGAGGAAGACAAGTTATTTCTGTAGCGAGAACAGCAGATTTAGTTTTGATGATGTTAGACGCAACCAAAAGTAGTCAACAACGGTAATGCAATAATATATACTATTCTTTAATGCGCTGTTCACTATTATGAGCAATGTTCAATTTGTAACAGCTGCTAAATTTTATTAATAGTGTATTATTAGAACGCGAATTGGAGATCGTTGGGATTCGATTGAATACAGAAAAACCAAACATATATTTTAAGGTAGAAATGTATTGTCTTTTATTACAGGGCCTAGATTATGCTTGTTTATATACGTATATTAGGTTAAGAAAGGCGGCGGAATCAGCTTCAATGCTACTGTTAAATTAACCTATTTGAATGAAAAGATGGTGTATAATATTTTGCACGATTACAGTATCCTTCAATTATTATATAGTTAAAGAATTTTAATAATTCATAAAATTATTATGTTACATTTTTATTTTGGTTTATTTTTTTTTTTTTTGAATAAGAGATTTTCAATGCTGAGGTGCTGGTTCGTGAAGATGTTACGATTGATGAGTTTATCGATGTTGTATTGGGTAATCGTAAATACATCAAATGTCTATACGTGAGTTTTTTTCTATTTACGAACGTGTAGATAATAATAATAATAATAATAATATATTCATTATTTTCCCAGTGTTACAACAAGATCGATTCGATAACTTTGGAAGAACTGGATCGTTTGGCGCATGAACCAAATACTGTCGTTATTAGGTAATTAATAAAATTTCTTTAAGAATTAATAACGCTAGAAAGCTAGAAAGTTTGTTTATGAGCAATTATCTTCCTAGTTGTGAGATGGATTTAAACCTTGATTATCTTGTTGAACAAGTTTGGAAGCATCTTAACTTATTAAGAATATATACAAAGAAAAGAGGAGGTATGATGTTTTTGGCTGTCTGCTTATTTTAGACTACACTACTAAAAATTATTTCATATTTTAGAATATCCTGATTTCGAAGGTGGGCTTATCGTTAGAAAAGGTGCCACTGTTGAGCATGTGGTTAGCATTTAATTTTTAACATATATTTATAAGCATTGTACTTAACTATTCTAGCAGCTCTAATACTTTGTAATCACAGTGTCATGTTATCCATCGAACTTTAGTTGAAGAATTTCGCTATGCTCTTGTTTGGGTAGTTTCTTAATATTTGGTTAACATTTGGTTCGAGTTTGAAGGCTATTTCTCAATAAATTTAAATTTTGACCGTTTACATTAGGGCATATCCACAAAACATAACCCTCAAAGAGTTGGGTTATCACATGTCATGGAAAATGAAGATGTTATTCAAGGTATTTTTGGTTTTATTTTTTATTTTTTTCTTTGAAATTAATAATTTTAAACACTTATGATTATATGTTTTTTAGTCGTGAAAAAGAAATAGATAATAATACAGTATTATTATTGCAAGAACTCGGAATAATTGCATAGATGCTAACTTTGTAATTATTGTTCTACTAAATTAGGAGTCTTTCAATTTTTATCCCAAGTTTGAGTCAAGGATGATAATTCTCTGCGGTGATATATTTAAATGAATATTATTGTATATAAGAATTATTAAAGTTTACATCATGGCGAATTTATGAAATTCGGTTACAAACTCCAAGTATTAGGTTCCTAATTTAGATTTTAGTTCCAAATTAAAGCGGGCAGATCAATTTAAGAATCGATTTAATCAATCAATCAAAATCATTTAATTTACTATAACAAATTATAAACTTATAAGCTAAAAATTAAACTCAGGGCTGCTTAAAATATTTTTTAACCTGTGATGCAGATAAATTTGTAAAAAAACAAATTATTTAAAAATAACTAGTGATTATTAGTGTTTATTTTTCAGGTAAAATGTTTACTCACTTAACAACAGGTGGTTCTAAGGCTGGTTCTTCAACTCCTGCTGCATCTAAACAAAAAAAGCAAAAAAAGCAAAAAAGGAGCATCATAATAAGGGAAAAGCAAAGAATGTAGAAGGTGCTTCTCCAGTAATTAAGCTTTCTAACAGAGAGTTTCTCCTGTTAGATGTTTCAAAAGTTATTATTTCAGTTTCTTTTTATGAAACTGCTTCTGGTTCTGGATGTAATTGAATAATTTTTATACATTTTGCAAATTGATAATATATTACAAAAATAAGTGGTGCCTACTATCTTTTTTTCGCTTCCCTGCCTTTTTTCCAAAATTTTTCAACAAAAAGTAAGGATTTGGCTTACCTCATACAAAAGATTGGCATTGTTTACTTCTCAAATTTGGACGACTAGTAGATTGCAACCACATGTTTGTTTACGGACAGATATGGTGCTACTTAGTGTTCCTATGAACCGAACTGAAACCGAACTTTGATCAAGTTCAGGTTCAGGTTCAGTTCAATCATGTTCAATAATGAACCTTCAAGTGAGGTTCATGTTCAGTTCAGTTCAGTATTGAACTTTTAAGTCAAGTTCATGTTCAGTTCAGGTT